GACTCAGCCCATGTCCCAGTGCTGGCAGAAAAGACAGAGGACCCAGGAAAACCCAAAGCAGTAGGGGACTATGGAGAAGGGGATGCAAGGTTTGGGCTCTCTTCAATCAGAGAAGAAAGACACCCTGCTGAGATCAGAAACCAGCAGGGATGCTTCTGAACAGGACATTCCAAGGCTCCTGGAGTTGGAGCCATAGCTTTCATCCTGCTGATCCCTGTCGACGCAGCCCCCAGCATTACCCTCAGCCTAAACTCCCAGAACTACCTCCAGGAGTCCCTGGGGGAAAAGAATCAGAGAATGACCTGCAAGACAGTCAAACCAAGATAAATGTTGTCCTCAAACCAGCAAGGATTCCTGAGAATGCCCAGCCTGTGGTGCCCCAGGCTTCACATGGCCAACCCTTCCTGCATCAAGTAATTCAGGGTAAGCATTGGCATTGCCAAATTTTGCAAGGTCAGGTTTTACAGGGGCAAGCAATGCCAGTCCATACTCACAAAAGGCCCAGAATTCCAGAGTCTAACCCAAGAAATAAGATTAAATCCTTTCTGCACTGTTTTAGCCCCAAGATGAAAAGCAAAGGGCATGAGGAATCCATGTTCTCTACAGCTGAGAAAGTGGTCAAAGCCAGAAAAGGAAGTGTTGAAAAAAGCCCGGCTCCAGCCAAAATCCCCATGGGGAAAACTAAGACAGAGAAGCCAACAGGGCATCCCAGGGTCCAATCTTTCCCCACTGAGAAGCCAGTGGCCTGGCCCCCTTGGATGGTCCCCGTTCCCCTGACTATAAGCTCCGGCTGTGCTCCAGACAATGTGGCTGGCTCTTCAGTTGTGGGCCACCCCTGCCACTTCCCTTGGTAGTACCCTCAAGTGGCTTGTGCCACTCAATCAAGAAACCCTNTGTGGCTGGCTCTTCAGTTGTGGGCCCCCCCTGCCACTTCCCTTGGTAGTACCCTCAAGTGGCTTGTGCCACTCAATCAAGAAACCCTCCCTAGCTCCCCACCCTCACCTCAGACAGAAATACTGGTCTGCTTGAGAACACCCAGGGCAATGAAAAAGCGTTTGTAGGCTCCCCAACCTCTGCGTCCCTTTAAGAGAACTGTTATTGTCATTTCCATTAATGTACAGATGGGGCAGAGTGCCACCCGAAATACATATTCCATATCTGTAAGCAAAAAAAAAAAAAAAAAAAGACATCATAATAATGTACATTACAGATATTATACTAACAAGTAAATCCTCAAAAAAAATTTAATCTAGAATTTTAGTAATTTTATTAGTGTGATGGAACTGAGTTCACTGAGACTAAATAACTTAGAAGAGGAATGGAGGTTTATTACTAGAAACAGTATTTTCATTGGTCTCTTAATTATTGCAAGGAAGAAAAAAATCCTGCAATATGAGAAAGAAACATAAATGCCATCTTTAAAAATATCTAAATATAGTACATTTAACTTCTTAAAATTTAGAAATTAGAGATCCACTCTGTTTCGGTGACTGTGTTAAATAAACCCCCCAGATTAAACATTCACATGTGTATCTTTCCTTGTGGCNGGTATCGCAACCCTCGGTGTTGCGCCCACAACCTCGCTCAGCCAGTGAGCAGCCCGTCTGTATGTGGGATCCGAACCCTCGCCGGGAGGGCTGCCCCGCTCCCAAGTGGCACACTGTAGCAGTGCGCCACCGGGTCGGCCCGAGAGATGCATTTCTAAAATGGTAAAATTTACAATCTCTTAGAAACTGTATTTACATTAAATTGGATTCAAATATACTGAGGAGACAGGAGATTAGTTATATACATAAATCTGAATACAAATAAAATACACACATTAAATTGGGGAGTAGAGAAGAATTGAAAAAACATGGTATTTTATCTATCTAGCCATTTTTACAGTAAATATATGGCCAGTGAATAAGTGAAATGCAGAGGCTAGTCCTTCACCACGTAACATCCACTAAGTAACATCTATAATAAACCGTACACAAGTTTTTAAGCCCTTTTGAGACCTTAAGGGTATGCATAGTTAATTTTTAAATAGTGTAGTTTTTCTTTTCCCATAAGACACATCAGATGATACCATCATCAACACTATCATCCTCATTTTTTGGAAATAGTAACTTTGAAGAGAAATTAAGTGATTCATCCGTGGTTAGGTAGTGGAAGGGTGTCATTTCCTAGTGCAGTTTTCTTTTCCCTCTATCACAGTAATAAATGTAAAAAAAAAAAAAAAAGTTACCTGTATAAATCAGTCATCCCATCCCAAATAGAATCCATCTTAGTAAAACTTGGAGAAAAAGCATTAAAATGAATATCAGAACACGTGGAAAAGCACTCTATTGTTAATAATCAGAAACATACATTTCTCTTCTGATTGTTTAATTTGATGACATATTGAAGTAGATAATGCCCTAAAAACTAAGCAGAACATAAACAATTACTAAGGAATTTATTTGGATTATCATCTAAGTATTCTTTTTTTTCATTCTAACAAAACATATTCTTTTTTAATGTACAGTAAATTTGTTAAAGGGTAAAGAGCAGGAGAGAGGAAGGTGAAGAAAAAAGTGGACCTTGAATAAACTGGCTCTGGATGATGCATGTTTCCATCTCTACTTTCTCCCCAGCTCTTTTTGACCCACGTTTTTTTTTCCCTTGTCAATTCACACAGCCTCCTCTGTGTCACTTCTACCTGTCACCAGCTCTTTTTATCCCTCACTGGTGTACTTTCTCCTTCCTTCGCAAAGATGGGCTCTCAGGTCCTCATCAAGATGAGGGGAAGATGGCCCTAATTGGTAAAGTATAGTCTGCTGGAGCCAATCACATGGACTTCCTACTGAAGTTGCACTGAAGTTACTCCTCTGTGGGAGGTTCTATGGAGTGGGAACCACACAGGGAAAGCAACAGCACAGCCCCGAAGCAGAAGTGTCCCTTCTCCAGTGCGTTAGGTCATCCCAGCCACACCCTCTATGGTCCTCCAGGTTCGGTCTGGGAATTCTACCATGCTGTCGGTCCTCACGGAGTAGGAGCGGGGAAGAGCCTGCCACAGCTGCCTCACAAAACCCTGGTAGAATTTTAAAAGAAACTCCTTTAGGTTTTTAAAATATGTAGACCTTGGGCTGACAGGAATTCCTAGAGTGAAGAATAGCAGAGAAAAAGTAGCAAGGTCAGGGAGATGAGAAAATACAGTCAAGGTATTCTGTTTGGAAGAGATAAAGGCTAGGAGCCTCAGCAAAGTGCTCAAAAGGGCTCAGAGAGGAGGTGAAACTTGAACTAGATTGTGAAGATTAGAAATGAATGTAGCATAAACGGCATCAAAATTACTCAGCCACAAAAAAGAATGACATTCTTCCATTTGCAGCAGCCTGGATGGGCTTGGAGAAAATTATGTTAAGCACAATACGCCAGGCACAGAAAGAGAAATACTGCATGTTCTCATTCATATGTGGGAGCTAAAATAAAATGGTAATAATGGTAAGTTGAACTTTTAAAAGTAGATAGTAGAACTCATTCCAGAGGAGAGGGTCTGGGGAGGCCTGATGTCTGGTCTCAACCCACTCTGTCCTCTTATCAGGTTCTTGACTCTGCCACAGGAAAGAATTCAAGAGCACAGTCATAGTAGAAAGTGAGAACAGGTTTAATGTAAGGAATAATGCATACAGATTTCACAGAGAAAGTATGGCCTAGCTCCAGAGACTGAGCAGGGCCCACACCAAATTTTATACAAAAGTAAGAAATGCACACTTAATGTTTAGTACAGAGTACAGTCTGGCTCAAGAGAGTGAGCAGCTGCTTGCTGAGAGTAAGTTTACACAGAAAGCAAATATATACACCTCAACCAATGGAGTGCAGGTTGGCCCCAGGAAAGTGCACAGCAACCCCACCTCCTACCAGGATTCCACTTTTATAGTTTTGCTATCTAGTATATACTCATGCTATCTAATGATTATTCAACTAAGGGTGTGGTTCCCAGTTATGTAACATAGTCTTGCATGTGCTCAGTTGGTTTTCTTTTAGGGCTTGTTCATTGGTCAAATCCTATTACATGCACCAGACATATTCAAGAATATTCTGTGTTCTTTAGCACCTTTAGTGAAAGGTCATTCAAAGGATAAATTCCACTTTACTGAGCATGCTCAGCTACTAGGGTTATATAACCCCTTTCTACTGAGCATGCCCAGCCACTGGATTTGCATAAGTCAGCCCCCTGAGGTCTCAATTTCCCTTTGTTGGTGCCCAAAATGCATCCAATAAGCAACAGTAACTCTCTGCTAGGGAATGTCCTAAAGGAGGGCTCTGAGACCTTGAGAAGTGGCCTAAAACCCAGAAGTGTGTCCTAAAATCTAAACCCTTGGAAACTAAACACCTCCTATCTCAGAACTGTGGTTACGAGAGGGAGGGAAGGGGAAGGGGAAAGTTCTATTGGTGTACAGTAGTGCTAGGCATCTATAATTAACAATAATTTATTGTATGTTGTCAAATGGCTAAAAGAGAGGAGCTTGAATGTTCTCATCACAAAAGAAACGATACATTTTTGTGATGATGAATTTGCTAACTACCCTGAACTAATCACTATACATTGTATACATGTATTGAAATAGAACTCTGTACCCCATAAATATGTACAATCAATGTTTCAATTAAATAAAAATAATATTAAAAGATGTGCTCAAATTCAAAAAATGTCATTTACTGACTTGAAAAAAAAAAAGATTAAAGAAAGCTCTAATTTTCAATTCTCTTTCATGACATTAAACCTCTGTGTTTTGTTTATAGGGTGATCATGGCCTTTCTGGATTAATGGGCCCCCTTGGTATGCAAGGTGATAAGGTAAGATGCAGTTTTACTTTGACATAGTTGGATACCATATGATCTGGAAGCTCTGTACCTACTACGATTGATCTCATTCTGAAGTTGACCCCTCAACCAATGTTTTAGTTTTTTTTCTTAGCAAAAGGTAATTAATCCAGGAAAGTGCCCCGAGAGGCACGATCTTATGAAAAGCAAAAGAAGACCATTTAGTTAATGATGGGCACAAAATCCACATGCAGGAAGAAGTCAAAGTCGCTAAAAGAATATTGAAGCTTTCCCCTTTTAAAATTATATTAGGGTAATGCCAACCTCTGAGACTCTGCAGGCACTTTTATATGCCCAAAGTGAGGTTCACTTATTTATGGGTAATAGACTTGGATTTTTTAAGGAGTTCTGATTTTATTTGGAAATAATTTCTGCCATGATGTATAATAATTTCTGCCAAATGTGAGGCTCAAAGGGTAGGGTGGAAGTGAGGATTGGGGATAGCTAGTAAAAAGCAGTAGTCATATGCATATGTTCTGACCAGCTGTTATAATTATTTCATAAAATATGTTGTGCAGTTTCCCGGATTAACACAAATATATATTCTCTTCTATTCAGATTCCCCCCCCCCAAACACTAAGTTGTTGATTTTCTGCAGGGAATTAGGAAGATACAAAATTTCTTTCAAAATATTGTACAGCAGTATTTGACTTGATATGGATATCTAAATACATACAGTAGTGAGCTGCGTTGGTGTATTAGTGTGTCATTTTACTTTCCTGTTGGGAGGTTGCAGGTGGTATTCAGGCTATGGTTGATCGATTCAAATACTATCTTCCATTTTCTAGGTCCCAACTACCTTGGACAGATTGCTTAATCTCTCTAAGCTTCAGTTAATGTGACATGGAATGAGATAATCCATGTAATACAGTGTCAGACAAATAGCCAGCCCACAATAAATGTTAACCATCAACTATCTATCTGGTTTTGGAAAGAATCCTGACCTCTTTTGATTTCCTTCATAACCCCTGTTAAAGGGCTGAATTATAAAATCATGAAAAAGGTTTTGATCTCATGAGAGTATTTTCTCTCCAGTGACCACACCATTATTTTTATGGCCTTCAGACTAGTCTTCATCCTCGACAGTAGTTAAAATCTGATAACTTCCTAGAGTTTGATTGACCCCAGGGAGACATGAAACTGTAGAGTGATCATTTCTAAAAGAATTAGTCTGATATATGGTCATGAATCTGTTCAATGCTACTAAGTATACCTCTGACTACTCTCATACCTCTTAGGAACTGTGCTGATGTATAGCATCAAATGAAGAAGATTACATAGTATGGAAATTATCTTAGTTATTTTATTTGATTCTGAATATACAGTAATTGCATTCTACACAGTGACACTGAATATGAGGGAAGAATAAACTAATCATTACTTTCTGTTGTTAAATGATGCCTGTGGTTCATGAAATTAGCAATCCAGGAAGAGAAGCACTAAGTAAATTTTGAGTAGTTTTTGTGTAGAGTATGTAAATGTTTTCTCTGAGAAGAATTATAGTTTATAGACAAGAAAAAAAAAGACTGATTTTGATCATTAGAGCAGATTATCATTTTGACTTTGAAGTTGTATTTACTTAAAGCAAAAGATATTAACTTTCAGAGACCTGTATACATGTTATATGGCCCATCAATATTTTACAATATTAAGAAAAATATATTCTTTTTGGTCTGTGCAAGTCTAGTAAGGTGAAATAACAGCATTACTTTAAACAAACTGGGCCATGAATTGAATATCTTTCACAGATTTCTTTTTTTTCTTATATGATTTTTAAGCCTTTTAAAGCTGGCTTTTACTGTTAACTAATACAAATAAACCCTATAGAAGTCAAGGATTTAATATATTATCAGTTAGCAGCTGTTGCTAAATTTTCTCTAGTGAAGTTTAGTTGAAAGTATTTAGAAACTGAATTATTTTCAGATAAATGAAGCATCCCTGGTTTAATATGGTTTGACAGTACTTCAGAGCAATGCTGAAATATTTCAGATGATTTTGTAGTATTTCTGAGAATGTTTCCCTGTATTTCAGAGTGTTTATTTATTTATTTATTTTTGTCTTTTTCCGTGTCCGGCAACGGATCGCAACCCTCAGTGTTGCCCCCGTACCAGACCGGGGACCGGCAACGGGATCGCAACCCTCAGTGTTGCTCCCGTGCCTCGCTCAGCCAGTGAGCGGGAACCGGTCCGCATGTGGGATCCGAACCCTCGGGTGGGAGCGCCGCCGCGCTTCCCAAGCGGCGCACTATCCAGTGTGCCACCGGGCCGGCCCTCAGAGTGTTTATTAATGGAAACTATATACAGATATTTGAAAAAAAAGTTTTCTAGGAAAAGGACATAAGGATTCAATCTAAACCTGAACTAATTCTCAACCTGGCAGGCTTGGGACAAGTTTCCGTCATACTCTCTTTATGTATGTCTTGCTTTAATATGAGTATACAGTAGAAATATATTCAAAATGAGCTTGATATACTGTTCCTGTGGTTTGTATGGAAAGGGAAAGGGCAAAACTGATTATTGGGTAGAATGTTCAGGTAAACATAAGTTTGGATTTTTTAACTGAATTAACTAATTGGCTTCATTTTTGGACCACTTAAGTCACTCACAGAGTTACTTCCTGCAAACATGATCCATGCTAGGAGAACCTAGAATAATGGCTTATATTGGCTGTAACCTCGGGAGTCCTATTCCTTTATCCTTGCAATTCTATCCCAAAGTACTAGATCAAGACAAGAACTTAAGTTATTTATTCTGTAGGTGAGAAAACTAAGGAAAAGCCCAGAGGGGTTAAGAGAATTGCTCAGAGTTACTTAGAGAGTTATGACAGGATCAAGAGAGAAAACTTACAGACTCTGCTGTGATTTTAACTATTTGGTACATATGATGAGAGATGAATAAGGCACTTGGCTTTTAATAAATATGAAGTAATTATATCTTTTAATCTGTTAAACTATTTTAGGAATTACTATTGTAACTAATACTACACACACACACACACACACACACACACACACACACACACACACTTTTTTTTTTTTTTTTTTTTTGTCGCTAGCCAGTATGGGGATCTGAACCCTTGATTTTACAAGGCAGTGCTCTAACCAACTGAGCTAACTGGCCAGCTTATTACCACTAATATTAAATGTAGCTATTTTATTACGTGCAATATTCCAGTTCTTCTGCTAAGCACTGTTTCTTTTAATCTTAAAAACAATCCATTGAGACAGATGCTATGTTCAGTATGTCATAAATAAGCTAATTGAAGTGTACAGGGTTAAATCACTCACTCAAGGCCATACAACTATTAATTGGTAGAATTAGGATTCAAATTTCAGACCTGTTTGACACACATGACTGTGTTCTTAATAACTTTGGCTACTGCTTTCCTATTAATTAATTCATTATTTGAGTCAACATTTGTTAGATATTGGTATTTTAATACTTCTGACTATCTCCAACATGTATTCAGGGGGAAGTGAAATACTGTTTTTCATGAAAGCCAAAGGAACAAATATAGTTTTGGATGACACATATTAATGACTTCATTACTCCTTTTTCTCTGGAAATTATCTAGAAATATTAAAATATAAACCAAATTCAAGTAATTTTTAAAGCTAAAATACCAGCAAGAAAGTTGTATGGAGCACACTAACAACTCATAAAAACTGTTGGGATAAATAAACAGAAGATTAATATAAAAAAATGTTTTGAAAACTAGAAGTAACATTACCACAGAAATAACAAAGCTAGCAAATCAGCGGCAATATTTTCTTCACTCTTTAACAGATTTTTTTTTCTTTTTGTCTTTTTTTCGTGTCCAGCAACGGACTGCAACCCTCAGTGTCGCGCCCGTACCGGACCAGGACCGGCAACGGGATCGCAACCCTCAGTGCTGCGCCCGCCCCTCGCTCAGCCAGTGAGCGGGAACCGGTCTGTATGTGGGATCTGAACCCTAGGCGGGAGCGCCGCTGCGCTCCCAAGCAGCGCACTGTAGCAGTGCGCCATTGGGCCAGCCCTTTAACAGATTTTTTGTTTTACTTCTTTTTTTACCCTATTTCGTCTCCTCCCTCCCATTTTTAAAAACTACTGTTAATATCTTTAACGAGCAATATGTTTCCCCCAGACTGACTGGTTACATTGCCTCAACTTAGCTACCTTCATAAAACTTTTATTTTCCTAGGAACTGAAGTGTATTTTCAGTTCCTACTAAATATCTAAATTTTTGCCAAAAAGCAAATAAGTTAGATCCAGAGTGCATGCTGGGTTGGATGGAAGACAAGAGTCATAATTCTGAGCCAGAACTCAAGATAGGTTTTTAAATGATTTTTTAATATAGCCAGTTAGTTGCTATATTAAAATTGGAAACTGCTATTTTGAATCACGAGAATATTAGCAATGTAATCAATTGAAACAATTTTTTCTAGGTTCAAAAGGAGAAGACAGATAACAGTAGTTAAGCACATCTTAGTATGAAGATAAAACTCAGAGCAATTGTAAAATATAATGCACACATTTTAAAACAGATTTTTATGAATATTTTGACAGTATTTTTTTAATATCAAAAATACTAACTACTACTGTTTTAGTGATATTATAAATCAGTGTGAATTCTTATTCTATTTTGACAGAACTATTTCATCTATTTTTTAAAAATCTTTCCATTACATAGGAGGTGCACAGTAAATATCTGTATAAAGTTGGAAAGGAAAAAAGAACTGAAAGCAGCAAGTGGGATGCATGGTGATTTATCAGTCACTCAAAAAGTATGCAGCTTTTCATAAACTTTTAAAGTAAGAACAGTGCTAATGAGTTATAACAATACTGAATGTCAGTGACAACAGTAACAAAAAAATCAAGGTTGGCATAAAATCAGTGTCTGAAGAGAGAAATATGGATGTTTCTACTGTTCCATAGCTACCTCCAGAGATTATCTCTAGACAATATTGGCCCATTATTCCTGTGAAATCTGCACAG